ACAGAGATTTTTTTCAGAGTCATTCTATTCTATTCTATTCTATTCTATTCTATTCTATTCTATTCTATCTATTTATTCTATTCTATTCTATTCTATTCTATTCTATTCTATTCTATTCTTCTATTCCATTCCACTCCACTCCACTCCACTCCACTCCATTCCTTATTCTATTCTATTCTATTCTATTCTATTCTATTCTATTTATTCTATTCTATTCTATTCTATTTATTCTATTCTATTCTATTCCATTCCATTCCATTCCACTCCACTCCACTCCACTCCATCTGTTCTGTTCTGTTCTGTTCTGCTATATTATATTATATTTACACACACATACGTGCACGCACAGAGGTATATATACATGTATGTATGTATGTATGTATGTATGTATGTATGTATGTATGTATATTATTTTTTTATTTGTTTAAATTTATTTATTTGTTTAAATTTCTATACCGCCCTTCTCCAATGTAGGACTCAGGGCGGTGAACAGCCAAAGTAAAAACAAGACATACATACAAAACCTAAAATCTGTTTAAATAATTAAATAATTTTGGCCGTAATTAAACATTCCAATTTAAAATCCGTTTAAAATTTGACTCAAGCCAGCCCAGCTAGTTGAAATAAATGGGTTTTTAGGGCCCGACGAAAAATCCGGAGGTCTGTTATTGTACGTAGCTCTGGGGGCAGGTCGTTCCAGAGGGCAGGTGCTGCCACAGAGAAGGCTCTCCCCTGGGGGTCGCCAGCCGACATTGTCTGGCGGACGGCACCTGAGGAGGCCCACTCTGTGGGAGCGTACTGGCCGGTGGGAGGCTATTGGTGGCAGAAGGCGGTCTCGTAAGTACCCCGGCCCTAAGCCATGGAGCGCTTTAAAGGTGGTCACCAACACCTTGAAGCGCACCCGGAAGACCACCGGGAGCCAGTGCAGCTCGCGCAGGAGAGGTGTCACGTGGGAGCGCCTCGTCGCCCCAAAATCCCCACGCGGGCCGCGTTCTGGACCAGCTGGAGCCTCCGGGTGCACCCAGGGGGAGCCCCATGTAGAGAGCGTTGCAGTAGTCCAGCGGGAAGTGACGAGTGCCTGAGTGACTGTGCGTAGGGAGTCCCGATCTAGAAAGGGGCGCAACTGGCTTATCAGGCGGACCTGATAAAAAGCCCCCCTGGCCACGGCCGCCAAGTGATCTTCTAACGACAGCCGTGCGTCCAGGAGGACGCCCAAGTTACGAGCCCTCTCCGTGGGGGCGAGTGATTCGCCCCCAATAGCCAGCGATGGCGTCAGCTGGCTATATCGGGACGCCGGAAGCCACAGCCACTCGGTCTTGGAGGGGTTGAGTTGGAGCCTGTTTCTCCCCATCCAGGCCCGCAGCTCAATCTTGTTTAGAACTAGGTTCTGCAAGAGATATTTCGGTAATAAAAATGGCAATTTTTCTTGTTGATGCCTTTAATTTCTTCCTATCCACAATACCGTTCTTTATCAGTATGTCATTCAATGAGACTTCAAATAAAAGGATTTTGGCCAGAGGCATATTACTACCCTGGTTGAATCTGGCAGCGTCTTCCCGGCCGAGCTTTGAAAAGATATTAACTGACAATTAAGCCAGGATTACATGAGGTAAGACCAAGAGTAAATAAATTAAAATCCTTTCATTCAATAAAACCAGACAACAGTAAACAATGAGATTCTCCAGAGAGAGAAAACCATTGATTTGGTCGGGTTGTGCGTTAGACCAAGCAAAATATGAAAATCAGTTGTGATTGTCGCACTAGCGATTGCAGTTGGAAAGGAATTTCCTGGGTGTCTTTTCCCCCAAAATTTTCTCCTCAAACCATAGTAATCAACAGCAACACAATTTGTTATATCCTTTCATACACTCAGGAGAGTGTAGAAGAATAATAGAGTTGGAAGGGGCCTTGAAGGTCCTCTAGTCCAACCTCCTGCTTAAGCAGGAGCCCCTATACCCGTGATGGCGAACCTATGGCACGGGTGCCACAGGTGGCACACGGAGCCGTATCAGTTGGCATGCGAGCGTTGCCGTAGCTCAGCTCCAGCACACATGTGTGCGCAGGCCAGCTGATTTTTAGGCCTTTCGGTCTTGCCAGAAATTGGGAAATGGGCTGTTTCCGGCCTCCGGAGGGCCTCCGGGGCTGTGTGTGGGGAAGGCTGTTTTTGCCCTCCCCAGGCTCCTAGAAAGCTTCTGGAGCCTGGGGAGGGTGAAAAACGGGCCTTCCGGGCCCACTGTGCCATCATGTGCTAAAAGGGGGGGTACATGCGCAGGGGTGGGGCGCATTGAATTATGGGTGTGGGCACATACATGGGCAACCTCGCCACGTTCCTGCCGCTTTTGGCACGTGACAGCAAAAAGGTTAGCCATCACTGCCCTATACAATTTCAGGTAAATGGCTGTCCAGTCTCTTCTCAAAGACCTCCAGTGATGAAGCACCTAGAACTTCTGGTGGCAAGCTGTTCCACTGGTATTGTTCTCACTGTTAGGAAGTTTCTCCTTAATTCCAGGTAGCTTCTCTCTTTGATGAGTTTCCAACCATTGTTTCTTGTCCTTACCTCAGATACTTTGGGGAATAAGTTGACCCCTCTTCTTTGTGGCAGCCCCTCAAATACTGGAAGACTGCTATCATGTCACCCCAATTTTTCTTTTCTCTAGACTAGCCATATCCAATTACTGCAGCCATTCTTCATATGTTTTAGTCTCCAGGCCTTTAATCGTCTTAGTTGCTCTTCTCTGAATTTTTACCAAAGTCTCAACATCTTGTTTGTGGCATGGTGACCAGAATTGGTTGCAGTATTCCAGGTGTGGTCTTACTAGGGATTTATAAAGCAGTACTAATACTTTATGTGATTGGGACAGATTGATCCCTTCTTCTTTATGGCAGCCCTTCAAATATTGGAACACTGCTATACGTTCCCTTCAGGAGACCAAGTCACCAGCTCTGTTCAAATTTACAAAGAATTGTTTGAAACCTCACAAGCTCTCCAAATCTCTTATGAAAACAATAAATCATTCCTGAGACTTTGTGACAGAACACCAACATCTTATAAAATCTCACAGGAGAATAAGCTACTTGGAAGGGTAGCTATACCCTTCAGTATAATTTAGAGAATTCTGATCCATGGCGGGTTTGTTGCATTGGAACCATATTAATGTTTTATAGAGTAAATATAATTAGATAAACATTATTTGGGAATAATGCTTGTTTATAAGAGTTGGAATCCTGTGGAAGATATGGGTTAGAAGATCAGGAATTCAGCAGTGGAAACCCAGACATTCCCCCCCCCAATCATATTGTCACGGGTTACCCTCAGTATCATCCTTCTCCTACATCATCCTTCCCATCTGCTCTAAGATAGTCAAATCCATATTTGTCCATATCAGTTTTATTTGAATGAAAGAGTGGGGAGGTAGATGGTGAAAACATACATTGGTCCACCATAAAAAAAATATGGGGTCTACAGCCAAGAGAGAATTCAAGTCTTCTTTTCTAAGAAGGTAGACCACAAAATAGAATGCAGGACTTGACTTGAAATCTGTCTGGAGAGAACTTCAGCTGTGCCATGGTGATTTCTGCTCAGTAATTATCAATTCTGTGGTTCCCGTTCTTAGAATTAGTTTCTCGCCATGTTTATCCTTCACTAAAGAGAGCCTGTGGCATCCATTTAAGGCTTGATATTGTATCCCAATTAGCAATTTCTTCTCAAGGCTAAACATATCTGTATCCAATATGTTCAAAATGTCTACAAGGAACATCAATTTTCTTCTTAGTTAAATGATTGATTCACTTATGTGTGGCCTATTTGTTTTCACTATCTCTGGCTTCCTAGCCTTCCCAAGAATAACAGAGTTTGAAGAGACCTTGGAGGTCTTCCAGTCCAACCCCCTGTTCAAATGGCTGTCTCTTCTCAAAAACTTCCAGTGATGGAGCATTCTGAAGACAAGACATTCCCACTGTCAGGAAATTTCTCCTTAGTTTTAAGTTGGTTCTCCTTTTGATTAGCTTCCATCCATTGCTTCTTATCCTGCTTTCTGGTGCTTTGGAGAATAGGTTGATCCCCCTCTTCTTTGGAAGACTGCTATCCTGTTGCCCTCAGTCCATCTCTTTGCTAGACTAGACATATCCAGTTCCTGCAACCGTTCTTCGTATGTTTTAGCCTCCAGTCCCCTCATCATCTTTGTTGCTCTTCTCTGCACTCCTTCCAGAGTCTCCACATCTTTTTTACATCGTGGTGACCACACCTGGTGCAGTATTCCAAGTGTGGATTTACCAAGGCATTATAAAGCGGTACTAACACTTTATGTGATCTTGATTCTGTCCCTCTGTTGAATGCAGCCTAGAGAAAGATCAGACACTATTGCATGTCCAAACATCCGAAATAGATATTTAGTACAAGATGTTAGGAAAAATTTCCGCCCAGGAATCTAAAGGACCATTGACACAATATTTGGGATTAACCTCTTTAAAGCTTCAATAGAAGGATGCTAATTCTTGAGATTTTTTGACTGCAGAGACAATAGGAGAAGAGCAAGCAAAGTCAGGAGGGGGGCAGAGTTATGCAAGTCATCAGCCTAGAGTCATTACGTTCCCATTAAAGTTCTAACTCCATTTATTTATTTTATTTATTTTATTATATTTCTATACCGCCCTTCTCCTGCAGGACTCAGGGCTGTGCACAGCCGAGATAAAACATAACATATAAAATTTAAAAAACAGTTTAAAAACAATTAAATAATTTCGGCCCAGTAATTAAAATAACCCAATTAAAACCAAATTCAATTAAAACTGAGAGGATGGGATCCAATCCCTCTTGAATTCTTTTGACTTTTATCTAGCAAGCCAAGTCAACCACGAAGCTGAATTCACTTAACAACCATGTTACTAACTTAAGAACTGCAGTGATTTAGATCACATTTAGATTCACATTCGGTATATAGGCTACGTCGTAAACACAGATCGTCACTTCTCACAAAACAGTTTGAGCAAGGGATGCTCACCCCATCCGAGACACAGGAACCGTTTACGGATGATCCGGTTTCGTAGTCTGCCCGTCACGGCCATGTATGATTGCCAAGCTTCGGTCAGCACCCAGCAGAAGGAGGAGAGGAAGAAGAAGTGGAGGAAAGCTGCCACCAAGGTACAGATCACCTGAAGAAGGAGAGCAAAAGGGAGGGAGATTAGTCTTAAAAAAAAAAGCATTACAAAAAAAGATGTTGAGGCTTTGGAAAAGGTGCGAAGAAGAGCAACTAAGATGATTAAAGGCCTGGAGACTAAAACCTATGAAAAATGGCTGCAGGATTTGGGTTTGGCTAAACTAGAGAAAAGAAGGACTAATGGGGACATGATAGCAGTCTTCCAATATTTGAGAGGCAGCCACAAAGACGAGGAGGTCAACTTAGTTCCCAAAGCACCAGAAGGCAGAAGGATGGAAACTAACCAAGGAGAGAAGCAACCTGGAATGAAGGAGAAACTTCCTAACAACGAGGACAATTATCCAGTGGAACAGAAGTTGCCTTCAAAAGTTGTGGGTGCTTTATAACAGCAGGGGTTTAAGGGACCAGATGGATACTTGTCTGAAATAGTATAGGCAATTAGACGTTTCCTTAAAATTATAACTGGGATCTTTCCCAACAGGGTGCTGGATTTTGCAATTTTTATGCCATTTAAATTTGATAAGGATCAAGAATAAAGAGATGGGAGAAGAGAGCTCTACCTACTATTCTACGGTATCTCATGAGATTTCCTAACCCATCTCACCGCTTTCTCTTCTGCTGCTAGAAGTGCAGCTTTTTTCTTGTCCTCTGAAGCAGACAATTAATGCTTGACCAAGCATGATTTAGCAGCTGAGAGTATGTATGGGGGAAAGTTTCCCCTCCCCTACTTTCTTGTGATTGACATCAGCATTATGTCTCTTTTTCTATGCTTCATCATTAAAGGGATTTGAAAATGGAAGGATGGGGGGTCATTGGGGACCTGCATATGAAAACTGTGCCATTGTCAGTGGAGTGTGGGAAAAGCAGAGAAGATGTCCGGCATTATCTATAAATGTTTAATAATGAAGAGGAATCACACTGGCATGCAAAAGTAGGACAAGCTAGGAAAGACTTTTCCTAAGATTCAGTTTCTGTAGGGGAAGGAGTGGCAGAAGCTGGGGGCAGAGTCAAAAGAGGAATCAGTCTAGAATCCCTACGTAGCCACAAACAAAATCCAACCTCCCTTGAATTCTGTTGACTCTTATCACAAAGATGCTGTTTTTCAAAAGGCAACTGGATTTTTTTTTTTTTTTGTGGAGGAGGAGGAGAACCAGAGAAAGTTAGGCCTGTAACACGTAGCCAAACAGCCAGGATGAGGAAGCAGGAAGAAAAACTGCTGTCCTCCAATCACAACATACAGACTAACCAGCATACGTCAGCAGCAGCAAACATAGAAAAGCAACAGCTCCGACCTCACAACACACCACAGCTTCTAAACTAGATAAGATCCTGAAGATGACAGGGTTGTGAGCCTGTCGAAACGTTGCTATAAGAAAAACTTTTAAGGTACTGGTAGGATTTTACCTAAGGTTTTAAAGGACCTTGCAGAGTGCTCTGTAAGGATTTTTAGAAGATTTTAAGCTAGGATTTTAATCAGAATTTTAAACATTTTAACTAACTTATTTAACATGACACGGGAAAACACCAGAGATTTTAATTTTTTGCACATATATATATGAGAGAGAGAGAGAGAGAGAGAGAGAGAGAGAGAGAGAGAGAGAGAGAGAGATTTTAATTTTTTGCATATATATATGAGAGAGAGAGAGGGGGGGGGTAGAAATAGAGATAGATAAGAATGAATGAATGAATGAATGAATGAATGAATGAATGATGCTCACATATTGATTTTATCCTGAGCTGAATTTTTGGTTCTCTCTTCTACAAATTTTCCAGTTTTATGACATCTTTTTCAAAATGGCTGCTGAACTTTGTTACACTCAATTAACAGAGTTTGAAGGGACCTTGTAGGCTATCTAGTCCAACCCCCTGCCCAAACAAAAGACCCCACACCATTTCTGACAAATGGCAGTCCAATCTCTCCAGGAGAATTGTCCAGGTTCTTGGTCCTCTGGAGAACTTTTAACCACATCTGACCAGACATCATGGTATATGCAAATAGGGCTGTTTTGGAGCATATATCTTATCTATTCTGATTCTTTTTTTTTTTAAGCCATCCCAGATGCACATATTATAGAAATTATGAGTATCATTAAAAAAGAAAAAGAGTACGACAGATTTTTCTTTTTTAAAAAGTCGCATTTTAAAGAAATGCAGTGCAGTTTATAGCCATGTATATTTGCCTCTAATGCAGAAGCCAAAAATGGAATGATCTAAGGATTCAATATTTAAAAGATGAAAAAGAACACCGGAAAATTTAATGTATTGTTATCTTTGACTAACAGATGCTGATAAAAAGACGTGTGGTAGATGTTCCCTTAATGAGAAAATTCTTGCATGAATTATCTATTTTGGTGGACGTGATACTAAGATGGATAGACCTATTATTCAAATTGAACACCACAGGAAAAAAAAAAATCTGGTTGGGTGGCAGACGTGTGAATGGTAATTAGCTCTCTTACTAATGAACCAAAAAGGGTGATTTGTTGCTGTTAAAAATGCAATGCAAACTCTTATTTTGGGAAAAGAAGGAATCAGATTACGTCAGGGGTGAAACGCTCCCGGTTCGGACCGGATCGCCTGATCCGGTAGCGATGCCGGTGGGTGGTTCGGAGAACCGGTAGCAAAAATCCCTGCCACCCCCCCATTCCCAGCTGAGTCACGCGATCATCAGAGGCTTTTTTTTTAATTTTTAAAAGCATTTTTTCTATAACCTCTTCGGCTCCAGGAGAATTGTCCAGGTTCTCGGTTCTCTGGAGAACTTTTAATCACATCTGACCAGACATCATGGTATATGCAAATAGGGCTGTTTTGGAGCATATATCTTATCTATTCTGATTCTTTTTTTTTTTAAGCCATCCCAGATGCACATATTATAGAAATTATGAGTATCATTAAAAAAGAAAAAGAGTACGACAGATTTTTCTTTTTAAAAAAGTCGCATTTTAAAGAAATGCAGTGCAGTTTATAGCCATGTATATTTGCCTCTAATGCAGAAGCCAAAAATGGAATGATCTAAGGATTCAATATTTAAAAGATGAAAAAGAACACCGGAAAATTTAATGTATTGTTATCTTTGACTAACAGATGCTGATAAAAAGACGTGTGGTAGATGTTCCCTTAATGAGAAAATTCTTGCATGAATTATCTATTTTGGTGGACGTGATACTAAGATGGATAGACCTATTATTCAAATGAACACCACAGGAAAAAAAAAAATCTGGTTGGGTGGCAGACGTGTGAATGGTAATTAGCTCTCTTACTAATGAACCAAAAAGGGTGATTTGTTGCTGTAAAAATGCAATGCAAACTCTTATTTTGGGAAAAGAAGGAATCAGATTACGTCAGGGGTGAAACGCTCCCGGTTCGGACCGGATCGCCTGATCCGGTAGCGATGCCGGTGGGTGGTTCGGAGAACCGGTAGCAAAAATCCCTGCCACCCCCCCATTCCCAGCTGAGTCACGCGATCATCAGAGGCTTTTTTTTTAATTTTTTAAAAGCATTTTTTCTATAACCTCTTCGGCGGGAAAGATGCTTTTAAAAGTTAAAAAAAAAAAGCCTCTGATGATCGCGCGACTCAGCTGGGATCGTCAGAGGCTTTTAAAAGCATTTTTTTCTGCAACCTCTTCGGCCAAAGAGTTTGTAGAAAAAAAAAATGCCTTTAAAAGCCTCTGGCGATCCCATCTGAATTGCTTGATCATCAGAGGTTTCTAAAAGCATTTTTTTCTGCAACCTCTTCGGCCGAAGAGTTTGTAGAAAAAAAAAATGCCTTTAAAAGCCTCTGGCGATCCCAGCTGAGTTGCCTGATCGTCAGAGGCTTTTAAAAGCATTTTTTACAACCTCTTCAGCTGAAGAGGTTGTAGAAAAAATGTTTCTAAAAGTTAAAAAAAGTTGGCCATGCCCACTCAGTCACATTACCCCCCACACCAAGCCACGCCCACAGAACTGGTAGTAACAAATTTTACGTTTCACCACTGGATTGTGTATATGGAATATTGGGTCCAATGCTCAGGGACACATTTGAAGAAAGACAACCGTGAGCTGGGAGATTGACCAGGAAGCCTAAATGATGTGAAGACCAGCATTTGTGTATGAGTAACATCACTGCATTGATGATATTACCTAGTTTGGTAATGAAATGTCTGCAAGAAAACCGCCAAGCTCAGAGATCACTAAAGATCCTGCAGTTGTCTCCTCCCACTCCTTCTCCTTCTTTCTCCTGCTCCTGCTCCTCCTCCTCCTAATCTAAATTGCTTGAAAAGACCACTTAAATCAATAGTATGCAATTCTATCATTTTGCCCTAGTTAGTGTATCTGTACTAAAGTTTATTCAAGGTCATCAGTTGGCTTTAGGATTGGCAGAGGGAGAAAAGAAAGGGCTCTAGAGAAGAGCAGATGATTTATTCATAGAATCATAGGGCTGGAAGGGATCTTGGAGGTCATCTAGCCCAACCCTCTGTCCAAGGCAGCAGTCCTTAAACCCTCCCAGAAAAATGGTTGCCCCATCTTTTCTTGAAAACCTCCAGTGATGGAGCTCACACAATTCCAGGAGGCAAGCAGTTCCATTGATGAAGTGTTCTCACTATCAGGAAATTCCTCCTTAGACGCAGGTTGGATCTCCCTCTGAGGAGCTTCCATCCATTTCTTCTTGCCCTGCCCTCAGGTGCTACGGGGAATAAATTGACTCTTCTTCCCTGTGACAGCCCTTCACGTATGGGGAGATGCTATCATGTCTCCCCTAATCCATCTGTCTGTGAGGTAAACATACATAGTTCTTTTAACTGCCCGTCATAATTATTAGTCAACAAATCATCTTTGTTGTTTTGCCTCTGCATTCTTTTGTGTGTGTGTGTGTGTGTGTGTGTGTGTGTGTGTGTGTGTGTGTAGGGAGGGAGGGAGGGAGGGAGGGAGGGAGGGAGGGAGGAAGGGAGGGAGGAGAGAATGGAATGGAATGGAATGGAATGGAATGGAATAGAATAGAATAGAATAGAATAGAATAGAATAGAATAGAATAGAATAGAATAGAATAGAATAGAATAGAATAGAATAGAATAGAATAGGAGAATAACATATGGAATGGAACGGAACGGAATAGAACAGAACAGAACAGAACAGAATAGAATGGAGAGGGAATGAAATGGAATGGGATGGGATGGGATGGGATGGGATGGAATGGAATGGAATAGAATAGAATAGAATAGAATAGAATAGGAGAATAACATATGGAATGGAACGGAACGGAATAGAACAGAACAGAACAGAACAGAATAGAATGGAGAGGGAATGAAATGGAATGGGATGGGATGGGATGGAATGGAATGGAATGGAATAGAATAGAATAGAATAGAATAGAATAGAATAGAATAGAATAGAATAACATATGGAACGGAACGGAACGGAACGGAACGGAACGGAACGGAACAGAACAGAACAGAATAACAGAGCCGGAAGGGACCTTGGAGTCCAACCCCCTGCTTAGCCAAGAAACTCTACAGCATTTCAGACAAATAGTTATCCAATATCTCTTAACATCGTATTATATATCCAATTAATGCCAGATTTGGCATTTTTTGTCTGCCTATCTAGTCTTTCTCAAGAACCTGGGACAGACATATCTTAATACAGTGTCTCTTCTATCTCTTAATATCTCTTATATATCTCACATACTAAGTGGGATATTCTCTTCATGGCTCCATTTAGGTCATTTTCTCCTTTGCAACTGGAGGGACCGAATTCATTCAGCCTGACAAACCCGTCCTGTCCTTGCCTCGTGCTCCAGGGCAGGAGATAACAAAGAACGGTTTAAAAAGCATCTTCTCAGATGCCTTTGTATGGATGCATGTAGGCATGTCAAAACTCTTAAGCATGCTTGCTACATTCTCCAACAAAGAGACGGATAATGGGCGTCTTCCTGCTTGTCCTAGTTTTGGACCCCAAAACCATCAGCAGAAAGAAAGTAAAGAATCGGCCATGAAGGTTTTAATTCCAGATATGGGGGGCTGCGTTCGAATTTACCTTGTTCCGGGTTTGAGTTTGTCCGATGAGGATGAGGGCATTGGAAGAGACGATGGAAAGGCAGAAATTGATCAGGATGACCGACCGTTCGGAGCGGATATACCTGCAGGAAGGGAACAAGGAAGCAGAAGGAGAGGAAAGCTTGTCAAACTTTGACTTTCAATAGGAAAGGAAGTGTGGTGTAGTGGTTAGGGCATGAGACTAGGATCCGGAATCCAACCTTAGCTGGAGAACTTCACTGGGACAATCTTTGAGACCATCGCATCTCTCAGTTTAACTCAATTCACAAGCAGATGAAAGTTAGAGAAAGGAGATGCTACGAATGTCGCAAAGGTGCTTTTTCCAAAAGGCAATTGGAAATTCTTGTGTTTTTTTTATTTTTCCCCTTGAAAATGTTTCACTTCTTATCTAAGAAGCTTCTCCAGTTCTGGCTGAATGGTGGGGAATGGAAGGATTTATATTCCTTAGCAGTCATCCGGTCATTCGATGACCCTTTCCATGAAACTGATTTTTCATTGCAACTGGTAGACCCCAGACCCAACCATAATAGGAACTCCAGGCTAAGAATCTGTTGCTTTCTAGCTTGGCTTACTCGCTACCACCACAGTCACCAAGACTGATTGCTTTGACCCAGCTCCCCAAACACGACCAACCCTCTGAAGTGAACTCAAATATTCCTTTATTAGGATCCCCAGCAGCTCTGGCAAAAAGTTTCCCTCTCAATGCTGGCTAACAAGTCCATCCAGACAGAAGATGAATAGTTTTCTGCCACATCTATTCATCTCCGCCCCCTGCCTTTTATCCCCAGAGCTAAAGTGGGGCTTCGCTAGCAGCGGTGCCTCTTCCGTCCCGAGGACCGGCCCATAGATTTCCACTGCTCTCCTCTCCTCTGCCTTCTGTGCATCCATGCATCAGGCAATGGGCCCAGCCGTTCCTCCTCTTCCTCATCAGCCACCTCCAGATCTGGGGGCTGTTGATTCTCCATCTGAGGGCTGATGGACAGCCCTCTGTCTCTCTCTCTGCCAGCTTCATTCCCTCTCCCCCCTTGGAGCTCTCAGGATGCCTTGATGCTGACCCTGATTCCCACACCTCCTCCTCCTCCTCCTCCTCTGATTCGGCTGCTGGAGGGGCCTGTGGCCAACAGGCCACAACACATCTGCCTACTGCAATGCTCTCTACATGGGGCTCCCCTTGAGGTGCACCCGGAGGATCCAACTGGCGCAGAGTGCGGCCGCGCGGGTGGTTATGGGAGCGACATGGCGTTCCCATGTAACGCCTCTCCTGCGCGAGCTGCACTGACTCCCGGTGGTCTTCCGGGTGCACTTCAAGGTCTTGGTTACCACCTTTAGAACACTCCATGGCTTAGGACCTGGTTACTTACGGGACCGCCTGCTGCCACCAATAGCCTCCCACTGGCCGGTACGCTCTCATAGAGAGGGGCTCCTCCGGGTGTCGTCGGCCAAACAATGTCGACTGGCGGCCCCCAGGGGGAGATCCTTCTCTGTGGGGGCACCTACTATCTGGAATGAGCTCCCCCCGGAGATACGGAGGATCCCGGATCTGCGCACCTTCCGCCGCGCTCTCAAGACCTTTTTATTCCATCAGGCTGGGCTGGCCTAACTGTTTCCCTTTCCCCCCTTTTTAAAAAGTAAATTTTAATTCGTTTTTAATTTATTGGGGTGTTTTAAATCTGTCTTCGGCCAAATTGTTTAATTCAATTTTATTCAGTTTTGTATTTATGTTTTTTATTCTGTGGCTGTTCACCGCCCTGAGTCCTTCGGGAGTAGGGCGGTATACAAATCAAATAAAACTAAAACTAAAACTAAACTAATTTTTCAGGAGCCCCTGCAATCTTTTTTTTCAGAGAGAAAAAGAAGTTGAGATACTTGATGCTGAGAAGTCCAAGCCTTACCTCCAGACCGAGATATAAATGATGATCAGGAGAAGGAGGGTCAGAGAGGACACCCCACAGCCAACGATCAACGTGACCGAAGGGACGAGCACTTTTTCCGTATTCTGAAAAAGAGGAAATAGAAACATGAAGACACTCGTGAGGGAACCTCCATTGATTCGGTTTTATACTAACAACAGGTAGTTCTCGACTTATGACCATTTGGAATTACGGTCGTAAATTATGGTAGTCGTTCAGCGGGTCACCGCCTGATTTTAGAACTTTTTGTTAAACAAATGCTACAGCCATTAAGTTAGGGGTCTCCAAACATGGCAACTTTAAGACTTGTGGACTTCAACTCCCAGAATTCCCCAGCTAGCTGGCTGGGGAATTCTGGGAGTTGAAGTCCACAAGTCTTAAAGTTGTCAAGTTTGGAGACCCCTGCATTAAGTGAACTCTGGGGTTATTAAGCAAATCCATAATATCCAGTGGGCATTTTTTTTTTGCCAGAAACCGGAACTACAGGTAGCTCTCAACATACAATAATTCATTTAGCGATTGTCTGAAATGACAACGGACGTGAAAAAAGTAATTTATGATTGTTTTTCACACTTGCGACCTTTGCAGCCCATGATAACTTCGGACACTTGGCAATTGACTCAGAATTATGACAGTCGCAGTGTCCCGGGGTCAGACGTTCCCCTTTTGTGTCCGCCTGACAAGCAAAATCCATGATTCAAAAGCCAAATTCGCTTTAACAACTGCAGTAATTCACTTAACGACTCCGATATGAAAGGTGATGGAATGGGGGGAAAACCCACTTGACTTACGACTGTAATTGAACCCAACATTTCTGTTGCTGAGACAGTTGTTGTCTCACTTAACAACAGAAATGTTGAGCTCAATGATGGTCGTAAATCGAGGGCTATCTTTAAATGCCAAAATATCTCATAAATCATAGTCATGGGACCTGGGTGTGGCAAACGGCATGAACGCAATTACGTGACGGAAAGGAAGCTGTGGGAATTTGGAAAGTGGGTTAGAGACAGCCTTGAGGAGGTCTGCAGTTACTTCAAAACCAGCCGCTAAGCAACCAGTCATAACTCAAGGATTAGCTGTATTTATATGGCTTGATTTTTGTTTCCTCTCCTAATTTATTTATTTATTTATTAGTCATATTTCTATGCCACCCACTCTCCGAGGACTCTGGGTGGCTTACACCAAAGACAGTATACTAAATAGCGTATTGCCCCCCAACAATCCGGGTCCTCATTTTACCCACCTCGGAAGGATGGAAGGCTGAGTCAACCTTGAGCCGGGGAGATTTGATCCGCTGATCTGCTGAACTAGCAGTCAGCTGAAGTAGCTGCAGTACTGCACTCTAACCCCTGCGCCACCTCGGCTCATTTGAATTCTTTACTTTTGCTGCCATAGATGCTTATCCTAAATCTTCCTAGGGGCTGATTTAGAATAGAATTGAATTGAATTTTTTATTGGCCAAGGAATTTGTCTTGGTGCATATGCTCTCAGTGTACATAAAAAGAAAAGATTTATTTTTCTTTTAGGTATGGGAGAATCTTGTTCAGCAAGAGGATATTTGTGGCTAGAGAGATACAAGTAAAACTTCTTCAGCTGAAGGTGTCCCAGTACTAAGGGAATGTTATATATTTTAAAAATGCATCCATTTCTAAGATTAATATCAAATCCCTGGCAACAAAGCATTTTAGACTAATGTACAGAATCTTGGAAACCATGGTAGAAACCATGATTTATGAGTGAGTTTCTGCAGCTGGAATCTGTTTGAATGTAATTTTTTTTAAGCATGTAAATTTTATTGGGGATATTGTAACATAAAATAGAGGAAGTCCTCGACTTACGACCACAATTGAGGGGGTGGGGGTGGAAATCCACTGCTAAGCCAAACTTCTGTTCACTAAATTTCAGAATGGGACCACTCTCACCATGGCCAACTTACTTCAATTTAATTCTTTCAAATAATATATATGTTTTCTGAGGTTTTCGCGGGTGTTTGTATGTAGGTCTTTGGTTATTCGGGTTTTCTCCCGTGTAAAATTGGAGGTGTCTTGGCAACGTTTCGACGAAGTCTCATTAGTCATCTTCAGGCTGGTGTTTTCGGCTTCGTGCTTCTAGGAGCAATGTGTGTGATCGCAGCTGTTTCTTCCTTTTAACTGCCAGTGGGGGTGTGAACTGATTGGGTGGGAGCTTGGCTGTGTTCTGATTGGGCAGTTAAAAGACATTGCTCCTAGAAGCACGAAGCTCCTGACATTGCTCCTAGAAGCACGAAGCCGAAGACACCAGCCTGAAGATGACGAATGAGACTTCGTCGAAACGTTGCCAAGAAACCTCCAATTTTACGCGGGAGAAAACCCGAATAACCAAAGACCTATATATATATATATATATATATATATATATACACGCCACCAACCTACCTTCCATGGAGGACCTGTATACTGCACGAGTCAAAAAGAGGGCTGGGAAAATACCTACAGACCCCTTGCATCCTGGACATAAACTGTTTCAACTCCTACCCACAAAACGACGCTATAGGGCACTGCACATCAGAACAACTAGACACAAGGACAGTTTTTTCCTGAATGTCATCACTCTGCTAAACAAATAATTCTCTCAACACTGTCAAACTATTCACTAAGTCTGAACTACTATTAATCTTCTCATCGTTCCTATCACCCATCTCCTTCCACTTATGACTGTATGACTGTAACTTTGTTGCTTGTATCCTTACGATTTATGTTGATATTGATTGTTTCCTGATTGCTTATTTGTACCCTATGACTATCATTAAGTGTTGTACCTTATGATTCTTGATGAACGTATCTTTTCTTTTTATGTACACTGAGAGCATACGCACCAAGACAAATTCCTTGTGTGTCCAATCACACTTGGCCAATAAAAAATTCTATTCTATTCTATTCTATTCTATTCTATTCTATTCTATTCTATTCTATTCTATTCTATTCTATTCTATTCTATTCTATTCTATTCTATTCTATGATTCTATTTGACTCTTTTTTTGATATTAGTGTAACTCTTGCCCGGCGGCAAGTTATCTCACAATGAGTTGTCTGTGGTGAGTTGTCCTATTCTGAAATTCATAGACCCAGTGAATTTTACCCCATTTTACGACCCATCTTGCCACAGTTGTTAAGTGAATCACTGCGCATGTTAAATTAGTAAGTGAATCTGGTTTTCCCTATTGACTTTGCTTGTCAGAAGGTTGCAAGAGGGAATCACGTGACCTGGGGACACTGTGACCGTCAAAAACAGAGTTAGTTGCCAAGCCTCTGAATTTCGGTCACGTGATCACGGGGATGCTGCCATGGTCGTAAATGTGGAAAAAAAGGTCATAAGTACCTTTTTTCAGTGTTATTGCAATTTCAGTCACTAAATGAAGGATTGTAAGTCGAGGACTACCTGTACAAATATCTATGAAGGTTTTCATTCATCCAGGTCAGCACTTGTCCCCAAAGTGCTTTCATTTTAGAGACAGCTGGACTTTCTGATTTTTCTGGAAGAAGCTTCAGTCTCCAGACTTCTCAAACAGAATCTGTCCATTCAGGGGTGAAATGCTACCAGTTCGGTCCGGTTTGGGCGATCCAGTAGTGATAAAAACTACCGGTTCGGGCAAACAGGTAGTAAAAAAAAAAAAAAGCTACCAGTTCAGTTGAACCCTTAGTTTAAAAAGCTACCAGTTCCTGCGAACTGGAATTTCCAACGATCAGCTGTGCAGCGGGGTTTAGCTTTGCTAGAAAGCAGGAAATTCTGCTCTCTAGCAAAGCTAAATCGTGATCCCCCCCCTTGCTTCTACTTACCTTCCCAAGCCTCCTTTTGGCATGTACTGCATATGCGCACGTGCATGTGAAGTGCACACTTGGTGTGCATTGCGCATGCATATGCAGCGTGCATTTGGTGTGTGGCGGGCATGCGCGACCAGCGAACCGGTAGCAAACCGGTTTGGATTTCACTACTGTGTCCATCGTATTAAAGACTCAATTCAAATATACAGATGATGCCCTGCTGATATTTCCAAACAAACACTTCGAGGAAAACAACAACATTCCTTTCTCTCCATCCCTGGCTAGGAAAACATCAAACATAACCAAGAAAAGACATCCTGAATGCCACAATCAGCTTTAAAAAAAAAAAATCACTGTAAATCAGGGTTATGATGCAAGATTCAAGGAGATTCAAATCTATGTGGTTTAAGTGGTTGAGAGGAAATCAGGTTGATGTCTCCAGATTTTCAGGCCGGAAAGAAGTCTGGAGTGGAAGAATTCTGCAAATTTTTCTTGAAATAGAATGAAGATGAAACAATCTCCAAAGTGAAGAGAGAGACACAGAGACAGAGACAGAAACAGAGAGAGACCGAGAGACAGAGAGAGGAGACAGAGACAGAGAGACAGAGACAGAACAGAGACAGAGAGACAGAGACAGAGACAGAGACACACACACACACACAGAGAGAGACAGAGACAGAGAGAGAGAGAGAGAGAGAGAAAGAGACAGAGAGACAGAGACAGAGAGAGAAAGAGACAGAGACAGAAACAGAGAGAGACAGAGAGACCGAGAGACCGAGAGACAGAGAGAGGAGACAGAGACAGAGACAGACAGAGACAGAGACAGAGAGACACACACACACACAGAGAGAGAGAGAGAGAGACAGAGACAAAGAGACAGAGACAGACAGAGAGGGAGAAAGAGACAGAGAGAGAGAGAGAGAGAGAAAGAGACAGAGACAGACACACACACACACACATAGAGAGAGAGTGAGAGAGAGAGAGTGTGTATGAGAGAGAGATCTTCTCCTCCTCCTCCCTCCCTCCCCTCTTCTCCACAGACCCCACTCCTTTCTAGCACTGATAATATCACCTAGTTTGATAATGAAACGTCTGCAAGAAAACCACCAAGCTCAGAGAGCACCAAGGACCCACAGTCCTCCTTCTCTCCTCCTCCTCCTCTTCTCTACAGACCCCACCCCCTTCTGGCACTGATAATGTTACTAGTTGGATAACGAAATATCTGCAAGCAAACAAACACCCCACAGCTCAACACTGAGCTACGAATATTCTCTTCTATAGGTAGA